CTTTATCTAGTATCTTATGGATTTGCAAGAAATAGAAGAGATTAAAACAAGTATACTTAATTATAATAATATTTCACCAGCTTGAAAAAGCATTCTCACCATTACAGTTGTTGTCATACTTCATAAAGTTCGGCCAATTGAGAAGAATTGGGTTTAAATTCACACACTAAATCATCAGGGGAGGATTGAGCAGCCTGGTCACCTAATAGGTTGACGGTTTTTCGTAAAATGTGTGATTTTTTAAAAACACTATTTTAATCGGGCTTAATGGGGTACCCAATTCTCTGTTAACGGCATATATGCAATGGGACGAGCAATGAAACTACTGTTTTAAAATTCTTTTGGAGTGAATTAGTTTCAGTTCATGTAAGTTGTGTTCATGTAGGACTGTGCTTTATTAGTAATTTTAAACAAAGAATCAAACATAAACAAACGAAAAATCAAGAAATCCATCTTAATTGAACAAAATAACCTTACTCTAAACCAACACCCTGGGGTGACAAGATATCTCTTCTAAGTTGCAACAGTATCCGGTCATGTGACTTCTTTTTTTTCCATACTGTATACATATATCTGTGTCAGTATAAACTACTTGTACCTGATGATGACAAAATCTTGTCGAAACGTTGTACATTTGCTGTTATGTTAAACTTATATTAAAGTTTTTCTTCATTATCCATTCAAGCCGTCTCCAGCCATTATTAGTCTCCAAGTGGGTTCCTCGTCATCGAATAAAATAAAAAGTTTTGGCTGAGATTATTGTAAGTGTTGCCATCTAGTTGCTAAAAGTATTCATTCATTAATAAGAGTAACCATTTTTTTCAACGTTACAGAAAACATAATTCTGGCAGAAATTTAGTAGATTGGTGTTGTTTCGCGCAAAGAGAAATATAATAAAGTGAACATAAAATAAAACAATAATATTTTATGAAATAAACGTCATAAAAATGTGGTTATAAAATTACTTGGTGTGCTTCTATGGTGTTAAGTCCCCAAGTGTTTCAACATCATGTTTAGATACTTACAACGCTAAATTCCGGTGTTCAGTTCCCCGTGGTGGACAGAGTATAGATAGTCTATTGTGTAGCTTTTTCGCTAAAACAGAGCAAACAAGAGCAATCAGAGAGATTGCATACTCTCGCCACGCCTCTCCTTTCGAGATTATATTGGATAAAGTCAAATTTCACCCTCGAAAACTCAGAAAATCCTTCTCAGATCCAGAATGATAAACGATCAGGATCATTTTTTGAAGTCTCAACCTCAATGTGCCCATGGAATTTGGTACAAGTTCGATCACATTTTACAGAGTTATTACCCCAAAACCTGAAAATGCCCTATCTTCCCATTATAACAAAATGCTTCTATATGATTCAGAATTAGTCTACGGATTAAATTTGGGTAAGACTGTCCCATGTTGACTTTCCATCTTGTGTACGTCGGCCTATTAGTTTTCGAGATACGAGCGCGGAAACCCAGACAGACAGACAGACACGCACACACACACACACACACAAACCCGATTGTAATACCCTTGATTCCCCTCAGGGGGCGATGGTAACAAACTATGATTTTTGTAGTTATTTATTTATCATTTAACAAATATGTTGCTATTTGTCTAAGTATGCAGAAAGAAAACAGTTCATCCCAATATAGTCTTGGCCAAAATGTTTGTATGCTTTTCTATATTGATGGTACAGTATTGTCTACATGCATAGAGGTAGTGCCTGATCGGACAAACATGTATGAGTTGTTATTCTGGTCTGTATAAATTGTTTTGAGTATTTGTTCGTCAAAACACACATACAAACCTGTTTTGTATAAAACGGTGTGCTTTTGGTATAATATTTTTCGAAACAGATCAGTGCTTTGTTCAGACAATTTCTCTGTACTTGGTGTAGAGTCATGCCTTGTTACGTGCCAAAAGTTATAGGGCATTTAACTGTTCGACTGTCCAGAAATGGTATGAAGCAAACAAACATTGCCAAAACAGTAGGATATTCTCAGTGTACTGTATCCAGAATCCTGAAACCTCATCAGACTACAAGAAACGTTGTTCCAGGAAAGTCTACTAGTAGACCCCGAAAAACTACTGCCCAAGATGACCGTGTTTTGATCAGGTTAACATGCAAATGTCGAAAGAAGTTTTGCAACCCATTCCGACAAGAATGGCATGAAAACATTAATTCCAGGGTATCCAGAAGAACAGTGAATAGGAGACTGACCAAACAAAGTTATTTTGCAAGAAGGGCTATTTGCAAACTGATACTAACCAGACTTCACCGCCGTCATCGTGTTACTTGGGTAAAACAGCTTGCCAACTGACAGTTAGGACTCTGGCGACATGTCATCTTTTCAGATGAGTCCTGTTTCCGGCTTGTTAAGGGTTATGGCAGGATTCGTATTCGTTGTTTGCTTGGATAACAGACGAGAAAAGACTGTCTTTCCCACAGGGGACACACAGGGGGTGGTGCAGTATGTGTTTGGACAGCTATTCATCATGGTGGAAAAACTACTCTTCATATCCTCCAGGGAAACGTCAGTGGCGTCTCCTAAAGACATCATATGGAGACGATATTTCTGTCATATGCTAGGACTAAGCTTGGAAATAACTTTTTTGTTCCAGAATGACAACACTGCGCGTATTGTGCAGGATAATCTCGATCAGGAGGATGTTACAAGATTGCCGTGGCCAGCAAAGTCTCCAGATTGTAATCCTATTGAGAAATGTTCGGCCGAACTGAGCCGGAAAATTCCTAATCACGACCCTAAACCAGTTACTGTAGCTGAGTTGCAGTGCCTTCTACTGACAAGTTGGGACGAAATTACAATGGGTTACATCAATAACGTCATCGAAATCATTCCATAATGATAACCAGGATAAAGACGAATGGATATGCAAGTTGTCCCTATAAATCATAGGAACGGGAGATAGTGAATCCGTAAAATTGTTGTTTATGTAATATTGTCATACTGATATCTTTTCCTGTTGCTGGTGAAATGATTAAAATTACAACTGAGTAAAGATTATTTATATCATTGAAAAACTACTATATTTATCTTTGGAAATGTATAAAATATAAATTTAGTCCAAAATTACTTGAAAAACCTTTTTATCTGTGCTTTGCCCACCACAACATTTAATGATGATTTTGTTTACATGTGACAGTTAATGATAAGTTTCTTCAGATGTGACAGTTAATGATAAGTTTGTTGACGTGAGACAGTTGATGATAATTTTAAACACATATATATAACCTTTTGTACACAAACTATGAATAACAGACTATAATTTAATTATATTTGCACAAAATAAACAAAACATATTATTTAAACGCACAACTCTAGGAGAATTTTATATATTTTCAACACTAAGAACATTTATTTGTTATTAATTCAATTGCACACTATATCCATTTATTTGTTACTACTAATAATATACACACAAGTTTGTAATTTGATGGTTAAATATTAAAAATCATTTCGCACGTGACGAAGACAGTTTACAAGGATAACTTCCAGCGTGTAAAGTAGCATATCCTGTTTAGTATCAATGGTATACTCTGAAGATACACATTCGTTAACATCATTTATTAGGTCTCTGGACTAAATTACTCTGCATGTGGTGCAGAATGGATAATGAAGTAAAAATATTGTTTTCTACATTTTAAGAATTATATTCGGTTTGAAAAAGGTCAATATTTTGTGTACAAAAAAGACAATTTATAAGTTACCTATTTGTATATCTTGCTTGAAAAATGTAACCTAAAACCAGTATCCTAAAAAAAAAAAACATTTAAAGGTTTACAGGTTATACCATTTTGAAATATATATTATATATAAGATAAATTAGAATGAGAGAAAAAAATTCATTTAAATTTCGCATGATTCAGTTGTAAAATGAAAGGTTTCATAAAATCTGATAGTCTAAAAAGTATCCATAATTACCACGAGAGGATTCAGTTTCATTAATGGTTTTCAATTGTTTAAAACATCACAGAGGTAGCAGTTATGATCAGTAAATCTCAAGGAATCTTATAAAATCTGTGTATTGTACATACACAATGAAGACACTGGTTAATCACAAAGTCTAGACAACCGAGTAAATCGCTAAGGAAACCTGTTATTTATCTAATAGAGAGTTAACTGATGTGAATATTGAAGGATGTTGCAAGCTGAAGAGATGAATGAACCACAAGATCTTTGTCTTAACTGCGTTATTAAGGAAAGCTGTAAGTTATCTATCAGAAGACTTTTGAGAATGGAAGACAGTTAAAAAAAAACCTTACATGAAGCAGGATAGTATAATTAATACCCACCTTCTACTAAAGTACTGCACTGTCTTGTTGTGATCTGGCACAATGCCGCCTTGGTAGTAGTTTATTGTTTACTGCTGTATGTTTGGTTAAGCTGTAATGTTTTCTATCTGACCCACAAGGGAGTGAGAAAGTCATGTATTCTGTGCATTATGCTAATCAGGTTAATGTATTAAACTTAGATCTTTGGACAATTGTTTTTTTAGAAATAAAAAAGAGATTCACAAATTGTGTATTCACTGCAAAGTGTTGTGTTCAACTGTCCGTTTAGATATATTTTGCTATGATATTCGAGTAGTACCTCACGTCTAGAAAACGAAAGTTTATATCAAGAAAATATTTTAACCTGGACGTTAGCTAAATTTTAGTTATATATGACAAAAACAAATTCTAGACAAAAGGATGTCACAAAATGTATGTGTCGCAGGACATGGTTGTTCTGTTGTCCTTACAACAGTATTAAAAACTGGGAAAAAAATCACATGATGCATGAATGCAGACTATTTACTCAAATTGCGATGTTAAATTAACGAAAACATCTGAAATTACGGGTAGGAATATTTCTCTTTGATTAAATTTTAGTAACACTTAGGATGTATAGTTTAAGATCTGAGATCACATTTAGTTTAGTGAGAAAGACTTCAAGATCTGAGATTTATCTTAGAGGGGGGGGGGAATTCAAGATCTGAAATTCATCTTAGAGGGGGGGGGAATTCAAGATCTGAAATTTATCTTAGCCGGAAGTGTTTGTGATCTGCGATCTCATTCATTTTAAGGGAAAGTGTTCAATATCTAAGACTAAGATCTGAGATTGGACTTAGTGGTAAAACTTTCAAGATATGGGATTAAACTTAGCGGGAAGGGGTTTCGAGATCTGGGACGACATACAGTTCAGTGGGAGAGTGTTGAGGTAGATTTACATGGTCCATCATGTTGAAGATACGCTCTTCGTTGCTTTCGACACGTTTCTACTCGCATTCTACAGGGACTGCTGTAGGTGATACCATCACTAGCACACACAGCCTTGTACCCCCAAGGACAAGACTTAGGACACTGACATGATGCTCTACCAAAGCGCTTCACAACACAGTCAGCATTGTAAGGGCAGTATTTCTTCTCACATGGTTCTGAAAATAGAGTGTTAGATATAAGTGTTAAAAAACTTACTGAAAAAAGTCTATGATACCTTGTTTTTAACATCTTATCACATAAGCGTAACTTACACGGGGAAGTGTGGAACACCTCCCTATTAATTTTTATTTTGGCTGTTTCTACTAAACCAAAATATCTAAAACTTATAAAACTTCCATTTACTAACTCAGAAACTAAAATCTGTCGAACTAATAGCCTCAAGCAGGGGGTACTTTAAAAAATATGAGGTAGTAATCATTCATAGAGAAAAACAAAGAATACAGACTAGCTAAAATGTTTTTATTCTCCATATATTTAATAGTATATGTTTTGTTAATTATTAAGTGACCAAAGTGAAAAGATTATACCCGAACGATTAAATAAAGTTTGTTCCTAGAAAAATATAAAAGTAAAAAAAAAATAAATATAAGTATCAACGTATTAGGTCTTCAAGAAATTAATGTCGCCTTTTTTAGATGAAAAAATCCGAACAACTTATATATCAAAACAAGACATTTATTAATGAAATAGTCTCCATTCTTATCGATGATGCTTTTGCATCTTACAATCAGGTTGTGAATGCCCTGATTAAAGAAATCACTTGTCTTTGAAGCGAAAAATATGTCGATGTACTCTTTAACACCTTCCACATTTGCATACGTTTTCCTACTAAAATGATGTTGTAGCGAACGAAAAAGTTGGCAATCTGATGGTGCCATAGCTGGAGAATATGGTGGGTGAGGGAGAACTTCCCAACCCAATTCCATACTCCTGTGTTGCGTCAAACGTGACACATGTGGACGTGTATTGTCGAAGAGAAGAAGAACACCTTTCCGATTAACGAATAAAGGGTGTTTCTGATGAAGGGCTTGATTTAAACGTTCCAGTTGCTGACTATAGATCTCTGTATTGGCAGTTCCCTGTGGATTGAGGGGTTTGAAATGAATTACTCCTTTGACGTTCCACCAAATGCAAACCATCACTTTCTGCGGATGGACTCTAGGTTTTGGGGTCGGAAGTGGTTTTTGTCTAGGACTGGGCCATTGTTTTTGGCGTTTAATATTCGCATAGAGAATCCATTTTTCAGTACCGGTGACAATTCTGTCCAAAAATGGTTCACGCGCATTACGTGCCAGAAGAGACGAAACAACGTTCATACGTTGGAAACGATGATCATCGGGAAGTTTGTGAGGCACCCAAACACCTTCTTTATGGAGTTTTTATATTTACAGTTAAAGTTAAAACAAACTGCTGTTCAATTGTATAAATCATACCTTTACTTTTTTGCATTTATTTGAGAGTGCTAGATTGTGTTGTAAACTTACTAAAGTTTCATACCGTACATCAGGTCTCTGAATTTACAAGGTGGCTTAGTATCAACCAAACAAGGTGGTTGAAAACGTCTTGACCACTGACAATAAATACATAACTAACAATACCCCTAACTTCTCTGACTTTTGTAATAGAGTAGTTGAAGGAAACTTTGTTAAATATCATAGTGCATTATATTTTGTTGTCTCGCGTAAGTCGCTATTTGAGCCACAAGGGGCCCGGCCTGGTCAGGTGGTTAGTGCGCTTGACTCGCAATCTGAGGACCGCGGGTTCGAATTCCCTTTCCACCAAACATGCTCGCCCTTTCAGCCGTGGGAGCATTATAATGTGACGGTTAATCCCACTATTCGTTGGTAAAAGAGTAGCCCAAGAGTTGGCGGTGGATGGTGATGACTAGCTGCCTTCCCTCTAGTCTTGCCCCCAGTGGCACAGCGGACTTACAACGCTAGAATCTGGGTTTCGATATCCGTGGTGGGCAGAGCACAGATAGCCCGTTGTGCTTTTTGCTTAATAACAATCAAACAAACCCTCTAGTTCTTTCACTGCTAAATTAGAAACGGCTAGCGCAGATAGCCCTCGTGTAGCTTTGCACTAAATTCAAAACAAACAAATCGATTGAGCCACAAAATCAGCACTTTCGGTTGATGTACATAATACTGCAACGGTCTTCGTTCTAAAAGCAAGATTTATTTTGTCAGTAGCTAAAACAATGTGGTTTGTTATCACAATGCAAATAATGTCACGTGCTAAATGTTACGGTGTGAATAATTTTACATACTAAATACTCTTCTTATGTCAGCCAGTGTTTCAGCAAACGTTGATCAAGTTACATGAAAAAGAAATCGGAGGAAAAAATTCGCAAAATTATTTTTAACACATAAATTTGATTAAATAAACTGGAGATAGATATTGTTAATCTCTAATACTAGCATTACAATCTAAAAATCTGTTGGCGGAGAAACTAAGTTCTTTCTTGAAGAAATTTTGTAGAATGGACGGCAACTGCCAGTTATAGAGATACAAGCGTAGAGGACGACGTTTCAAAAGTGTTCTGCCTTTCGTCTTCAGGTCAGTGTATGTCTATGGCAGTTATTTTGGTGTAAAGTTTTTATTTGTTTGTTTGAAGTAAGTACAAAACTACACAATAGACTATCTGTGCTCTGCCAACCACAGGTATCGAAACCCCGTTTCTAGCGTTGTAAGTCCGCAGACATACCGCTGTGCCACTGGGGGGCAAACCGATAAGTCTGAAAGAAGTTGTCCTTCGGTGGTTCTACGGTAAGTATGAGGGCTTATAACGCTAAAAATTGGGTTTCGATAGCTCATTGTGCAGCTTTGTGCTTAACAACAAAGAAACAATCAAAAGTGAAAATAAGTTTTTAATCAGAAAATTTAGCAAAGTCACAAAATTACAATTTGATACCATGTACATTTGATCATTTTCATGTCTGAAAGTACCTCTGAACAAAAACAAATATTTTTCAAACTCTAATAGAAACTTACCGTCTTTTATTTCAGGTCTTCTAGTGTAAGGTTCATCTGTGAAGGAAACAATAACAGACATGCCGTAAGAATGTTTTGCTGAACCGGGATATTATGTTTAATATAAGTTCTATTTACGATTACTCAGAATCATTTATTTTTAGAATAAATAGAATGTTATCAACACTTTCAGAAAAGAAATATTGACTTTAGCTCTGAGAGCAGCTCGAATGCGATCTAATTTCGGGACGTTGATATGCACTAAGCTGTGAAATTTGATTCTTATTTTCATCAATATGACGACTGTTGATAATCTGATTTATCTGTAAATGAATCTGACCAGGAATGTTAGTTTTAAAAGCAAACCGAAGTCACCGATACGTTTGGCACGATCCAAACTCTCAAGTGTACAAATAAAATGATTTATTTCATTAAGAATCTTTTAACCATAGACAACCGTTTTAATTTGTTGTCAAACAATGGAATATTTGGTTACATGACATGGCGATTCAGTGCACAAGATTTATTCTAATTTTGTGTAGCCACGTGCAATACTGAATATTAATGTAACTCTATAACTTTTATCGATGTGGCAGACTTTATATTAGTCTAAGTTTTCTCTCGTGTTGTTTGTAAAGCGTAGCTTTTGGTCTTGTGTGAATGATTGGTAACTAAAGATTACTAAGGCACGTGCTAAAGTAAAGAAATATTTTCATCAATAATGAAAAATCGTTTACCCAAGTGAGTTTAAATAATTGTTATTAATGGGAATTAGAATTATTAATAATAGTTGTGTAGTTTTAATATTCTCATTTTAATATCATAATTTTGTAACCATGTATGTAATCAGATCAATCTTCGGTTTCAGGATCGTATTGATGAATTAGATCATAACTTTTGGTTTTCAGATCTGTTAAGTTAGGATGGTTATCTTAAAAGAAATATTGTATAGAAATTAATGGGCATACGTTGATGTTTTGAGATCCTTATTTTCGAATAACACTTTTTAAATTTGAAGAACGTAAGAAACATTTTTAAGTGGATTTAATCTTCATGTTGACCGAGTTAGTACAAGTAAAAATAACTAAGTTTATAAAAAAACTCGACCCGAAGTTTTCATAATAATTAACAAGCTGGACGTGGGCGTGGCTTAGAGTTTAGCGTGCTGGGTCACATGTCAAATGGTTCTTGGTTCGGATATCATATCGTTCAACACATTTCACACCTTTAGCTGTGGGAGCATTATAAAATTAGTTAAATTCATTGTTGGGTTCAAAGAGTCTAACAAAGTCCATGTGACGACTGGGTGCCGCTGATTGGCTGCTCTTTCTCTGAACAATATTTCGAGTGTGTTTATAATGGCTGGAGATGGCTTGAATGGGTATTGAAGAAAAACTTTAATATAACAGCAAATGTACAACGTTTCGACAAGGTTTTGTCATCATCAGGTACGAGTGTGTTTATAGTTAAGCACAAAGCTACACAATGTGCTCTGCCCACCACGGGTATCGAAACCCGGATTCTAGCGTTGTAAGTCCGCAGACATACCGCTGTGACACTTGGGGGCCAATATTTCGAAACTTGGGGCGACTACACCTGAACTTCTAATAGGTAATTCTAATCCATGTGTCACATGAAATGCTGTTGAGGTTGAAAATTGCAATTGCAATAACTTTAAAACCTAGTTAGTTTTTAAAATAATCTTTCTTTTTCCTTCACTTGGGAACTTTAGTTTTGACCAGCTGGTGTAAGGTTTGTTAAGAAAATGTTTATAAACTTTAGATATTAATTTGAAAACTTTATATTAACCCCAAATCCAGGCAATATTTAACGGTTCCTAACCTTATAATTGTGAAATTAATTTACTTTTCTAATACATTTGTTATTTGTGGTGTCTTCTAATGTTCAAACTGCAACTAGATGATCTATGGCGTAAGAGATGTTATCTGAACAACAACAGCTGTGTTATATTCTGTAAGGATTAAAAAAGTAAAGCATTTGTCAGTTTTAGGATTATATAACTAGCGGAACGTCGAACGACCGTAAACTGGGCCTTTTTTGTTTGCATTTTTACTTGACGTACACAAGTAAACTTTTTTTTTTAGAATAAATAGAATATTATCAACACTTTCAGAAAAGAAATATTGACTTTACCTCTGAGAGCAGCTCGAATACGATCTAATTTCGGGACGTTGATATGCATTAAGCTGGAATTCAGATGCAAGCTACTATCGCTAAGTTGGTGTAGAAAAAAAATACGAGTATCGCGAGGTTGAACATGACTGTTGCAGATATCTGGATTTCCGAACCCATTCACCAGAACAGTGCCCCTGAGATTGTCGTCTCCCTTAAGTACCCACTTCACCAGGACATCGGCCGAGTAGACAGGTAAGTTGGGAAGTACTCTCTCAACTGTACCTGTCAGCACAACGTCAGCAAAACGTTCTCGAAGCTTCAATCGCTCTTTTTGGCAGACATCTTGTTGTCGGTGTCGACGTGTTTGTACAATGTCACCCAATTTAGTCACTGAAAGGAAAACAGCAAAGTACAGTGTTGAATACGAACAGAGCTTCATATCGTCTTACTTCACTAAACACCTGGCTCTAGAAACAGATATGCTATTGGGACAACACCTCTAGGCCGAATGACGTTTTAGGGCGTGACATGCAACCTACGATTTTTACCATCTGTTGCACATTTCTGGTAATTTTAACACTTATGTATAATTCTAAAATACTAATAAGTGATATTTTGTATCACACACACAACAATTTTTGTTTGGAGTAATTTTAATATGAAATAACTGAGAGAATAAATACTAAAATACGAAAGTCAGTAGACGTACAACTTGTTTTACAGTAAAACCCGTACCCTGGGGCGGAAGGCCTTTGTTATAACGTCCGACACTGTTTTGTTCCCTATAGAGCGACTTGTTGACTGTCGCTCTTCTATGTTGAAAGTGTTTAGATAATGTAGATTTCATATGAATATCTAGGACTAGTAGTGTAATAAATCTATCTATCGAGCTGTAATTAATAACTGAATTACAGTCATAATTTACTTTTCATTTTACAAATTACAACGATTTCAAAATTGTTTTATGTATGTTAACGAAACACCAGGTTAGTGAAGGAACATCAACATATTAAAATCTCTTGTTTTTAAAGAAATGTTCTGTTTTTCACTTATATTTACTTGAAATAGACATGAGTAAATCCTTGTACGAGTGACATGATAAGCAATACAAAGATTAAAACAAAAAAACACCTATATATGTATATATATATATATTTACTCAACATGGTTTCTTTGGGAACTTGAATCACGCTCAGTCTAAGAGATAAATAGCATTTGAACCATATTGAATAAAATAAAATAAAATAACGTGCTTTTGTTTTATTATGATTTCAATACTCCAGTCAGCACTTTGCTTTTTACTGAATAATATTTAGTTTAAAAACCTTTAAACTTATAAAATAATTATCTTTTTACTGTTACGTTTCGCTTCTTGGTCCAGGTATCGACCTCACAGTATAAAAGAGCCTAATAAAAAAATCTCTGAAAGTGTGTCGAATAGGATCATGTTGGGGATCAATGTTGGTAACCGTAAGGTAATTTGAATGTACTAAATCCAAGTGTATGGGTTACTAAATTTTAATTTTCAAGAAAAGGCTCAAAATGAGAAAGCGTGTGTGTGTGTGTATTTTATAGCAAAGCCACATCGGGCTATCCACTGTGTCCACCGAAGGGAATAGAACACCCCTGATTTGTGCGTTGTAAATCCGTAGACTTACCGTTGTCCCACCAGGGGACAAATGAAAACAACAAAATATGACAGTCGATTTCGTTCCGTGGATTCGACCTATAAATTAAGAAAATATATATGCATGTATTCTTTCATATAATATGGAAAATAGGTGCTGTTTGCTACAAAAGTATTTCATTTTTAGGTATTTAAATCTAGAATTAGCATTTTGTTTTTGCCTTAACTTAGTATATTTATACATACTGGCCTGTTATTTACAGTACAAAGTATTTTTAAATTTTGTGTCTTCTTATTGACAGTACACAGTATCGTTAAATCTTGTGTCTTCTTATTGACAGTACACAGTATCGTTAAATCTTGTGTTTTCTTATTGATAGTACATAGTATTTTTAAATCTTGTGTCTTCTTATTGACAGTACACAGTATCGTTAAATCTTGTGTCTTCTTATTGACAGTACACAGTATCGTTAAATCTTGTGTTTTCTTATTGATAGTACATAGTATGTTTAAATTTTGTTTCTTCTTTTTGAAAGTACACAGTATTGTTAAATTTTGTTTCTTCTTTTTGAAAGTACACAGTATTGTTAAATCTTGTGTCTTCGTATTTACAGTACACAGTATCGATTAATTGTGAAAATTATGTGTTTTGATGATAGTAATAATGGTTGCTGAAAAAATAGAAAGCGTTATTCGTAATTATTCTGGATCTGTAGGACACCACTGAATTAAAAATTTATACAGAGGTTAAATATACGTTATATTAAAACGATTCTGGAATCCTGGCCACCTCGTTACGGTCTATATTACTATGCCCGGTCATGCTTTATCTAATGAACATGCATCTTGACAATGGCTCTGCAGCGTATTCCCCATTCTAAAAGGCTCTGTAGTAAGGCTGTCATGTTCAAAGTACATCATCCTTCCCTGTATCTTTTCAGTAATCATCTATTGTTTGAAGAAGATGCTTTTCCAGCCACCGTTTTAACAGAACTCCACAGGCGCTACGTCCGGCGACTTGAGCGGTATATCTTCATATGGAGGACCATGAGTACCCGTTTCATTGTCATGTTGCTTGAGGTATGCAATGGCTGAACGGAAGCTATGACTGGAAGCTTTATCTTGGTGGACTCATACTGTGTTGACGTCGTTTCTAAACGGAAAGTCTTCTTAATTGTGTTGCATACTGTTGTCTGGGACGCAAGACGGCTTTTACTACTGTCCTTTGTGTTCGTGGATCCTCACCTGTTACAAAGCACCCACTTTGCTTGATTACGACTTCTTGCAAGTTTTTTCTGGGTGGTGTTCTAACCCTAGGTGATTTATATTCCTTTGTTTTCCAAAACGATTAAGTACACAGGATATCCCCGATCTGAATACATCGTTTTTAACTGAGTGTATGAATATTTAGCGCCATAAAGTTCTGATATATATCCTTCCAAAAGTGATCAGTCAAAATATAATTCTAGTACCTGCCATTCTTCCCCAACTTTATATCAAATGTGGTTCTTATGTGACTAGCTTATTTTCTTATTCAAAATCTTTTAATACAACGTACTCAACCCTCGTAACTATTTAGGAAAACATCATATAAAGTTCTTTAGAACCCCCAAAAATGATTAAAATCAAATTTTAGTATATTAATTTTAGTTGTGTATAACTGCAAAATGTTGATTATTCAAATTTACACCTGTTGTGAATTCAATTTATCAAACTTCTACGCCTTTAGAGAAAAGTTTTAAAAATAAAAGGTCTCACCTTTCTTCTTTATTTCCAATGTAATTTCTTCAGTCCATTGTTTTACGAAAATGCAATACATAAGGCTACCACTCCACTTATTCAGATAGCCAACTCCATTTTCATATTTTGGGGAAATACGAAATTTCTTGCACACTTAAAGTGCAGTATTCTAGGCATTTTTTGTGCAATTGCATGTGATGATAAAAACCTATCTATAAAAACTGGCTTTATTTAGTATGTTTATTTACTTTTTATTTTAATAAAACTAGAATAGTAAAATATCTAGTTTACACACTTAACTGTTCTTTTAATTTTATATTTGGCTATTAACTACGTATGAGAAGGACAGCGTTACTGTTTCTCGTTGTATTATATGTAAACCAAGTATGCAGTTTACACTTTTGTAAACTGATACGAATCACTCGTCCAGATTACTGTAATAGTATGGATATAAAGTACTCATGTTCAGCCTAATTACAGTACTCTGATATAATCACTGAACTTTGTCACTGGAACCCAGTTTGTGTAATCATGTGCACAGCTACTGGCTACAAGTTAGTATTCACATAGACTTAAGCAGTGATACTTTCAGTGTGTGGATACAACTTTTGTTTTACTTCTTTCAAAGTATATCATTTTTAAACATCTATATACAGAACTCCATAGTTGATTAGCTGTTTGCAACGACACATTTCTATAAATGTACCTGTTAAGACACCTGCATTATAAAACTCCCATGCGTCCTATTGAATCATAACACACACATTAACATAAACCAAGTAATGAATTTATAAAATAATTATTTATTATTCATGTTAAGTAATGCATTTAGGATTTATGTGGGTATTATATCACCATTTAACATATAGAATTACATATTTTGTAAACTCCATGTTTTAAGCTTAAATTAAAATCAGAGCCATTTAGAGGGAGAAGACAATTTGGTATAATTTAGATTTTCTGACTTAGCGAAGTAAAATTCACAAAGTGGAATAAGTTACTGCCTTTCCCCCAGAAATAATACTACGCCCTTTTTCTAGACCCCTTTTCTGATTTCTGCATTAAACCTAAATACAACATTTTGTACGTAAATAAGTAAAATTTGGATTTCGTACTTTTATCCAGAAATAATCCTAATTATTTATTTAAGGTATCGACATAAAATTTGCTCTAAAACAAGTACTTTATGATATTCTTAACTCTGCTTGATGGGTCAGTTTTCAGGTACGTCAGTTTTAACGATCTTTATTGTATAATAATCAAACGTATAAATTATTAATTTTTTTAGGTTTAGCAAAACTATCACATTCACTGTGTTTTATATGTGTATGTGGGTTTATATTATAACAAGAATCGTACTTATTGGATGCTGTACCTTACACTGTAAAAGATATGTTCATATTAAGTTTAAAATATTCTTTATTTGTACTAAAGGGTATTAGGTTACCAACTTCTGGATTCTTATGTTAGCTGATAAATAAGGTTCTAATGGACTTTTTCTGCTAGTTTGATACACTGTACAACTGATTCCAAGCCATTAAATTACTAACACCTCAACTCTCAATAACGTTCCTGTTCAGCTGAACTATATAATAAGAATGTAGGCAACAGCTGGCTTATCGAATAGGTAACATTTCATTTGTTTGGCTTTGCTTGAGTAGAGATTTAAGTGAAGCGTGACAGGTGCGGAATCTCCAATAATTGATTTTGTAGTCGAAAACACAGTAGCTCATGGATATTTGAAAATTATGTAATCAGTGTTATATAAGTTCAGGAAGTGTTTTAATACCTGGATAGGTTTATAGACCTAGCCTGTCTCATATTTAACGTAAACAGACCAATGAAATGCTATTTTCCTTTAGATAAGTGACGCTCAATTAATTTTATTTGGTGCATAACATTTCTAAATAATTTAACTTATTACGTTAAGAATTAACAGTAGCTCGAAAGATTTGACATTTGTTTTGACGTTTCAGCAGCCTACGAATCCTCACTGCATTTAAAAATAAGCAAGTTTTCAATTGCTAACAATAAGAAAACAATTAACGTAAAGAATTAATAGCTATCATTATTTTTCATTACGGTTTTTGCATTTTGATAGATGCGGAAAACTTTATACTAGTCAAAGCTTTCTCATTCTCTCGTGTTGTTTGTGCTACAAATTTTGGCTTTAATCGTGTAGTTGCTAAAA